AAGCCCATCCAAACGGGCCCTTAATTTCATCACCTAATGGTTATAAGGTCAAAGTGATTGAAATTGGTGATGTTTTATTAAGTCCAGCACTGACTCTGAACAAAGTATTGTTTGTTCCTAGTTTCAAGTTTAATCTGATCTTTGTTAATTGTTTATCACTACAACTCAATGGCATAGTCACTTTTAACAAATCTTCTTGCTTATTGAAGGGCCCTTCTTTGGAGAGCCCTCTAGAACTTGGTAGAGCCAAGAACTGTCTGTACTTTCTCTGTCACAAGTGTCACAACTTCTCTACATCTTCTGCTCAAAACAATTCACATGTTCCTTGTCATCATGTTCCTTCTGTAACCAATGTTCATAGGAAGAAAAATACTAATGTGTGCACCACATCTTTTGTAAAAAGTCCTTCTTTCATAAAGAAATTTCCACTACTGTTAACTCCCATTCTTGTGTTACTGATTCTTGTCCCTCATTTGTTAATACTTCCAACCATACTCATGGTAGTGAACTATTGTGGCATGCTAGATTAGGACATGTTCCTTTTGTAAAAATGAAAAACATCTCAACTATACCTATAAATTTTTCAAATAAACAGCCTTTTACTTGCACCATATGTCCTATGGCTAGGCAAACTAGGATGCCATTTCCAGAGAGTACCACTACTACCACTAAAGTGTTTGAGTTACTACACATTGACTTATGGGGACCATACCATATTCCTACTCATGATGGTTACCGTTATTTTCTCATTATGGTAGATGACAACAACAGATCCACTTGGACACAATTATTAAGATGTAAAAGTAGTGCTCTTAAAACCATCAAAGCCTTCATAACCCTCGGACAAACTCAGTTCCAAACCAAGTTAAAAATTATAAGAACTGACAATGGTATGGAGTTCACTTCAGCTGAAGCCACTTGTTTTTTTTTAAAATTCCATAGGCATCATACACCAGAAAACTTGTCCTTATACACCTCAACAAAATGGGGTAGTGGAAAGGAAACATAAGTACCTTCTTGAAACATCAAGAGCTTTTTTGTTCCAGTCAAAGCTACCCATGAGTTACTGGGAGGATTGTGTGTTGACTGTCACATACCTCATAATTAGATTACCCTCTCAACTCCTTCATAAAAAATCTCCATATGAACTACTATACCACAAACAACCCACATATTCTTATCTTAAGAGTTTTGGTTGTCTTTGTTTTCCCACTACCTTGAAGACTATTGACTATCCTTTCAACACAAAAGGTAACAAGGTTCTGAATTTAGTAATAAAAAGGGTCATATATCTAGAGATGTCATCTTTCATTAAAATGTATTTCCATTTGTCATTACTCCTGTTGGCTCTAGTTTTAATTTTATCTTATAGATGTTGATTCATCCCACTGATTTAACTTGCATGCATGGGAAAACAAACACTTTTGTTAATGATGATTTGCTGGATAATTTCACACCACAAGATATCACTAATGACCTGGTACCTATCAATACCAACTTGACTACAACACCACCTGAAGGCACACATGAACCTACAACACAACACACCTTGCCTGATCCTAATATCTCTACAAAGACTAATGCTTTGCCAATAGTTAGAAAAACCACTAGGACAACTCATACTCGTAATTACCTCAAAGATTACAACTACACCTTGCCTAACCTGCACTCCCTTACATCTTTTATATCCCACGACGATCGTGTTGGTTTCAGTAGTTTCTGTTATGATAGTCAGCAATTGGTGAAAACCATTTCACATGAATGTGAACCTAATTCATTTGAGGAGGCAATGTTGCATCCTGCTTGGCAACAGGCCATGACACAGTAGTTTAAAGCTTTGTATGCAAATGACACTTGGGAAATGGTCACATGACCAGAAGGAAAGAAAGTTATTGGTTGCAAGTGGGTGTACAAAATCAAACATAAAGCTGATGGAGTGTGGAGAGGTTTAAGGCTAGATTGGTAGTGAAAGGTTACACACAGCAGGCTGGAATTGATTACACTGAGACGTTTTCACCTATGGTTAAAATGACCACTGTTAGAGTCTTGATTTCTTTGGCTGTAAAGAAAGGTTGGGACCTATACCAATTAGATGTCAACAATGCATTCTTGCATGTTGATTTAAATGCGGAAGTGTACATGACACCTCCACAATGTCTTGTTGTGGTTTGTGACAACATGGTGTGAAAATTAAAAAAAGATCCTTATATGAATTGAAGCAAGCCAGCCGTCAGTGGTATGATAAGTTGGCACACAATCTTTGTTCTAAAGGATATCAACATTCAGATACTCACTATTCACTATTCTATAAAAGGAAAGGTTGTTCTTTGGTTTTTGTTGCTATATATGTGGATGACATTATTATGACAAAGACTGATATTGATGAGATCAACTCTTTAAAGGTCTTCCTCAATGATTAGTTCAAGATAAAAGATTTGGGTAAACTACACTACTTTTTGGGACTGAAAATCTTATACAGGCATGATAATGTCCTTATTTCACAAAGAAAATTTACTTCTGATCTCTTGAAAGAATTTGATGTATTGGACTACAAGGCCACCACATCACCACTTGATTACTCTGAGAAGTTGAAATCTACTGATGGCAAGCTCTTATCTAATCCTACTCACTCTAGACAGTTGGTTGGCAAACTAAACTTCCTTACCAACACCAGAATGGACTTAGCCTACAGTGTACAACACTTGAGTCAATTTATGCAAACACCTAGAGCCACATTTGAGAGCAACTTATCACGAATTAAGATACTTAAAACAAGACCCTACAATGGAATTTTCATTTCAAACAAACCTGATCTCACTATTAGTGCTTTTTGTGATTCACACTGGGTTGTATGCCCTGATTCAAGGAAGTCTGTAAGTGGTTATTTTTAGTGCTTATGGGTGATAGCCCTATCAGTTGGAAGTTTAAGAAACAAGCCACAATATCCTTGTCTTTTACTGAAGCTGAATACAGAGTTGTAAGACAAGTTGTGGGAGAACTAGTGTGGCTTGAAAGGCTACTTGATGAATTGACTTTCAAATGCTCCTTACCAATACATGTTCACTGTGACAGCCAAGCAGCAGTCCATATTGCCAAGAATCCAATTTTTCATGAAGGAACAAAGCATATAGAAATCGACTGTCATTTTGTTAGAACTAAAATCCAACAAGGTTTGATCACACTCCAATCCATCCCCATTGATTTACAGTTGGCAGATATCTTTACCAGGCTTTAACTGGGGTTAAACATGCTACTCTACTACACAAGTTGTCTATAATTACCTCACCTCCAACTTGAGGGGGGGGAGGTGTTGAGAATATAGTGTACAGTAAAGTTTGTTATAGTGTATAATGAAGTTAGTTAGTACAGTAGAGTTAGTTAACAGTGTGAAATCAGTTAGTCAGTTAATTAGTTTGCTTAGTAGATGCTTCCAGATTTTATCAATTAGATCTTGTATATAAGTATCACAATGTAACACTTATTAGAGAGTAGTTTTCAATGAAAGTTCCTTCTTCTTCTTCTCTCTTGATCAAATCTCTCAGTGTATAAGCTTGACCTCCATTAATGGAGGAACAGAGCAAATTAGTAGATGTATGCTGCTGGATTTATCAAACTTTGAGTCACTTTCCGCTAAAATATAATCATATTCATTCCTCACGCACCATTCAACTGCAAACAACAATGCTTTAGCCTCTGCCTAGTTGTTGATACACTGACCAAGGTTCAGCGAGTAAGAAAAAATAAGATTACCACAATGATCTCTGGTCATTCCACCTCTTCCACAGTAGCCCTCCTTAAAGCTTCCATCGAAATTGATCTTCACAAAACTGTTAGAGTGATTCAACTACTTGACTTAAATAATTTTTTTGTGTAGATGTTGCTTGTTAACAAGTGACAGATTGAGTCCCAGGTAGGGTCAAGCTTAATTATCTCAAAGTGTCCTTTGAGAATCAGGACCAGGCTAGTAGAAATATTGTTAATAGTTTTACTTGTGTTGTAGATCTCCTTGTCGTATTTGACTCCACATCTTGTTGTCCACACCTCCCACAAGGTGATAGCATGAAGGCATTTCATAACCTGTCCAGAACTGGGTTCTTATTTTTCCAAGTCCACCAAAACTTGATTATCATTCTAATGGGGATATTATCTAACATGATCCCCAGTGAACCACAAAGAGATGACCAAATCGTTTTTGCAAATTCCCCAGAGGCACTGAAGTGGTCCACATCTTCCTCCTGAGGTGATTTACAACATCATTTTAAGAGCATGTTTTACAAGTTGAAATCAAGAATGCAACTAAAAATTGGACAGTGATTGCACACAAAAATTCAACTAGTAATCGAGTGTTTCTCCAACTAGTTAAAATAACTTTCCATGTACTGAAAAGGGTGCCAATGAAAATTTTCATGACAGAGAGAAAAGACAAGATATTAGTAATGCCTCAAGAGACCTATTATGCTCAAATAGCTTCGATGTTTTATCGAAGACTACTGAAAATTAAGTAAACTTCAGAGAGAATGACAACAATTTGATCCGAGAAAAGCAGGTCTTACCGCCTACTTTGAATAGAAAATTAAGTCCACAAGCTTCCGTATTTGTGCCTAAATGGGTGATTGCAAAGAAGAATGAGTCAAGGTCTTAGTTTCAAATACATTTGATTTGGGGGAGGATTCTCTTGATGAAGATGAGGAAGCCAATATTCTTAATTTAGACGAGGATTCTCTTGATGAAGATGAGGAAGATATGATGGACATATACTTTGATGGAGTGGCTAGAGAAAGAGATATATCGTTTAGGCAACAAAGAAGTGGAAGCAATAAAAGCAATAAAGAAGACACATGGAAGGCAACATAGTTGAGACGGTAAAATGACTGTGGAGTTTGTTCTAAGGAACCTATCGATACGACAGGCAAAACAGAACCATTTGACAGTATCAATAGGTTCAACAAGATCCAATAAATCCATAAAAAAAATATGAACTATCAAGTGTTATTGGATAGATTTGATTAAGAAGAAGACAAGAGAAAAATACTTCAAATTAATTTTGATGGACAATCAATCTTTTTAATTCATGTGTTTGTAATAAAAAGTTTGAGGTTGATAACTCAACTTTCTTTTTGATTGGTACATTTTTACATTTTTTAAGCACCCTCATTTGTAATATCACCATGGAGTGTATTACAAAATTTATGGTAATTAGACAATACTTAGTTCTCTCTAGCTCTTATTTTCTTTCATGCTTGTTAGGTAGTAGATATTAGGTACTTCATTAGGATAAGTAAGTTAAGGTCTAGCCCCCCTTGCTTGTACTTATCCACAGTGATAATTTTTATGTTTAATGAGAGGATATTAATTAGACACTGTCTAGTGATAAATTTGTAAAAAAAAAAAAAAACCTATATCATATATTATTATAAGAGGGAACCAAAAAAGTTAAAAGTTGAATTACGATTTTACCCTTATTATAAATTAAAATATTATAAAGATATTAACTATTTAAATTAAATATAAAATTATATTATTTTAATCAAAATGTTAATGACTTTTCCACTTCTTTAGAATAATTTTTAATTAAAATATCTAATTTAATTTATTTTCTTGAAATTATTTAAAATATTATTTTTTTTGTTTAATATTTATTTCGGGATTCAATGAATTTTGATTATCAAAGTTGAATTACTTTTTTGTCTTTTAATTAATAAAAATATTTAATAAATAAAAATAACTAATCTAATTAGTAGTAGTATTTAAATTGTTACACAAGCTAATTAAATAGGAGTAATATTTTAATTATCACTCAAATTACAACAACCTATATTCAATGTTTTGGAATTGCTAGCTTTTCATCTTCCTAAAATTGTCCTATATTCAATATTTTAATTTTGTTTCAACTTCCTGAAATTATGAAACATTAATGTGAAGTTCATGAATCTGTCAAGCCCTTAGTATGGTTTATCTTTTATCCTTAGTATAGTTTATCCCATTAATTTAAATTTGTTATCTCTTTTAATTTTCATCCGTTAGAAAACTTTTCATGTACTCTATTAAGTTTTATCACAATAGCATTTTTAAAAAATATATAGGATGCAGTTTCAATTGATTTGCACAGTAATTTTGATAAGTGTATTACTATTCAAATTATATCATACAATTGAAAACTTGATATTCTTATAGCCGATTGCATATTTGAGGCAACAATGTCAAAGAACCATTTCGTGGTAGTTTACCTATCAGGTGATGTTGATTAATTAGTTAAAATTGTTGTGTCTTTATTTTGTTATTTTTAAATTTATCTTACATTTTAATATATGTAAGTGCATGTATTACTATAGAAAAAAAATGTTATATATGATATTATATACTTGAGGTTTAATTAAAAAAAATTGAAGTAATTAGTTTAATGTGGTGTTGCAATGCATGAAAAATACTAATTTTAATAGTTTGTCATGTTACATTCGATATATATATATATATATATATATATATATATATATATATATATATATATATATATATATATATATATATATATACACACACACACTATTTTACTAATTATTTATGTTAAATTCAAAAAAGAAATGACTTACAAGTTTAAATCAGACAAAAAGTAATCTTCCTTTTAAATTCATATAAGTCATATTATTTTCTTAAAAAAAATTACTTAACGTAAAATATACGTGCGTTGCACGTATTCGAGAACTAGTATATTAAATATGGCAAGCATCAGTGATGAAGACTGTAAGAACGAAGTTGTCATGCATGTGAAAAAGAGGGATCATGTTTTGTCAAGAAAATCCAACCAAAAGGAGAGATTTATTAGGGTTTTGCCCTGATTTTCTTAATTTTATGAAGTTTATTTTTTCGTTAAAAAAAAGTCAAAGTATTAGCATAAATGCTTGATTTTTTTCTAAATCTTCCTTCCATACTTCGTTTATTTTTCCTTAGAGGAAAAGTTTGGAGATCTATAAATTGAAGATCCGTATTCTCATAGCATTACACAATAGCTTTCACAATGTAGACGTTTAAGAATTCTCTCAAATAGTTTTAATATTTTTCTCCTATATTAGTTTTCATATAATAATATTATGGTTTTAGTATAAACTTTTTCATCTAATTTATCGTCATATGATTTGCAAATCATAAGCTTCCGCATGACGCCCTAATCACCTTCAGAACCGAACACCATTAAGACCCATAGATGGTACAACGGCCAAGAAAGCTCCTTCTCTCTATTAAGAATCGATACCCTATGTGCGGGTTTATATCTTTTTTAATTAAGGACGAAGTAGTCTGCATTTTTATTAGTGACGGAGCCAAAAATTTTATCACGCATGTCTAAGAATAATGATGTGTGATTGTTTAAATAAAATTAAAAAATATTGTGATATTTGAATTCGAACCAAAAACTCCATTCAAATGGACAATAATTGTCATTGAGCCAAAGACATAACATTTAAAAAGTGTGTCAAACTTTATATATATATCCTTTAAATATAAAATTTAACGTGGTGATTGTGGCTACGCCACTGCACCTCATTGCCATCTCTATTGGGGACAAATATTGTGATTTTCCCACCTGTCATTTTGTTGACTTGGCCAAAAAGTTAATAAATCTTCCAAGTTGACTTTGACATTGAATAATAACTGTGACAAGTTGTTGAATAATATACACTCTTTTTGGCGTAGTGGCTCCACTGCCATTAAGTCCACAAAACTGCAAATGTAGTGATTAAGATCAAAGTTGGAACCTTCTCTGAACTTTCCCACTATATTAAAATTTCAAAATTGGAATCTTCTATGAAAGTCTTCACATTTTTCATGAACTATAAGTTGTGCAATAGCAAAGCACTTCATAATTATTTTGCTCATCATCAATCAATATCATAATATATCTTAACTAGAGTAAGCATGAGTAATTTGAAGCCCACATTGAGTTTTGAACAAGGATGGCCTATATTGCAAGAGGAAGCTATCAACAAAGTTATCCTCCTTGTTGAAGAAGGCCACACTTCCAACCAATTCACTTCTGAAGAGTATATGCATTTATACACGTATCCTATTTTCATTCTTTTACTATACTATCCTCTGATTCAGAATTTAAAGTTTATATAGTATTTTAAATTTAAACAAAATTTTATATTGCATAGTATCTTAAAGTTTTATTGTGGGGGCTATTCCTCTCTTAACCAAACCAGAGGTCTCTTATTCGAGTCTGGATATGGAAAAACTCTTGGTAGGGAGCGTTTTCCCTGAATGGGGCCCTATAAGCGCTAATCTAGATTAGTGAGATCCAATGCAGCAACTGGATACCGAATGAAAAACCAAAAAGAAAAACTATATCTAATTGTATTTTGCTATTCCTATCAATTTGGACTTGTATTTCCTAATTGTATTATCCAGAACAGTGTATAACATGTGTGACAACAATCCAGCTGGCCCTGAAGCTCAAAAACTGTATCAGAAGTATAAGAAATCAATAGAAGACTATGTCTCCACAAAGGCAAGTTGAAATTACATACATGATTGTTACTTTTTTCCTTTTTTTTTGGTTTTCTTGATATGATCATCGATGTTACAGGTAGTTCCATCTATTCAGGGGAAGAAAGACGATGTCTTGCTGCACGAACTTGTTAAGAGGTGGAATAATCACAAAATCATAACCAGGTGGCTTTTCAGATTCTTTCATTACCTTGACAGACACTTAGTGCCTAGAAGGAACCTCCCTTCTCTTCAAGAAACTAGCCATTTGACTTTCTATGAATTGGTTAGTTACGAGTACTTATCCATCGATATGTTGGATCAATTAGAACAATAATTTCTGTGTTTTCGTGGATTTTAATAAATTGTTGTAGGTCTATGGTGAAATGAATGATGGAGTGAGAGATGTTGTCATATCTTTGGTAGGTTTTAAAAAAATCTAATTACCTTAACTGGATCTTTGAATTTTGGTGTCTATTTTAATTTATAATAAGCTACTGTGACTGTTAAAATTAGTTAATTATTGCTCATTGCACATGGCTACTTGTGTTACCAATAAGTTGAATTTTAGCAACTTACATTTGGCTAATGTGATTAAGCCTGTATTCTTGTTCATTTATGTTCACTAGTCCTAGTCAATTTGAATGATCTAGCCATCTAGATCGCCTTTTTCTCGTTTTATTGGTTCTTTCCATACTTCTTTGAAATAGACTAGTATATCAACTCTGTACTTCCATAATCAGGGGTAGAGCGTTGAGCCGAGAGTGTTCAAATGAACCCCTTTCAGCTGAAAATAAGCTATTTGTACATGGTTAATATAAGTTTTATGTATATAAAAGTAGAAAGTTGGACCTCCTTCTGCTTCTTTGTGAGTTTACTTCTTCATATTGAAAATTTTGGCTCCGCCACTGTCCATAGCCAGAAATGCATTTCTCCTTTTCTAGAACGTCGGCTTGATTTCATATTTCTCTGGCTTCCTGAGGCCATATTGGACAGTTCTGTTTTTCTCTGTTTAATCAGTTCTATGTATTATATTTTACACTTTAGTTTCTGTTTTACTTACTTGTTACCATGATTCAGATTAATAGAGAACGCGAAGGAGAGCAAATAGATCAGGCCTTAGTGAAGAACATTTTGGATATATATGTAGATATAGGTGGAGACACCATGAAGTATTACGAGAAAGATTTTGAAGAATCGATGATGAAAGATTCTGCTGTATTCTATTCTAAGAAAGCCTCATATTGGATTGCAAGCAAATCTTATGAGGAGTACATGCTGAAGGTTAATTCTATTTAGCTTGCTTTGCATATTGAATAAACTAAGTAGTTCTATAACAATACCAAATGTCGATGAAATTCAGGCCGAGGAATGCTTGAATGACGAGGAAAGGAGGGTTCAAAGTTATTTGAAAGACGGTAGCAAACATAAGTTATTGGAGGTTTGTAATAGGCTGCATCGTTGTATTCTTTACATTCTGATGCATATTGCAGAGTTAGTATATGTTGTTTTAGACTATCTTTGACACAGTGGTAGACCTAGAATTTTCACGTTCAAGTAGGAACTGAACTCGAGTTGCTTGGACAAAATGAACCCTCTTCATAACTAGGCTAAGCATCACTCTTGTGCTAAATGGAGTCAAAATTTAATATACACCTATAAAATTTCAAAAACTGATTAAATGTACACATATATACTGTGTTATTTTTCAACGAATGGGTTCATATGAACCCACTTGACCCACTGTAGGTCCGCCCCTGCTTTGACGTATCTATAAATGCAATTTTTATCAGCCATCTAATTGAACAAATGATCATGATATATTCTTACAAGTGATGAAGAACTCACTCTAAATGCAGGTAGTAAAATATGAGTTACTTGCTGTACATGCAAGCAAACTAGAAGAGAAGAAACAAATCAATCTTGGAGCTGCTTAAAAAATGAAAGTTTCTTGATGAAGAGGTTGTGCCTTTATGTGATTTGAGTGTGACTACTATTTAATAAGTCCTAAATATTCATTTTCACCTAAACAAGTTGCTGTACTTTATTTGCTTTTGCTCTTTCAATCCTTTATATAGATGTCTTGGGGATAGTGAATGCATTTTAAACTTTAATTGATATAGAAGAAGTGTTTTAGTTTGGTTGTGTCCTAAAGTTACGGTGTAAAGAATTTTTTTTTACTTTTATAGTCTTAGGGCCCGTTTGGATGGGCTTAATAAAAGCAGCTTTAAAAAAGTATTTTTAAAAGTGCTGAAACTTATTTTTAAAATAAACAGTTATGCGTTTAGATAAAAGTGCTGAAGTTGTTATGTCAAACGTGAAAAGGGAAAAATGGAAGAAAGAAATGTTAGGGTTATATGGGTAATTTGGAGATTGTATAAAAATATTAAGAGCAAAAAGATAAAAATGTGGTCAACTTAAAACAGTTTATAAGCTAAAAAAAAAAACACCCCTACCCCAGCTTTTAACTTTTGGCTTAAAATAAGTTTTTTTTTAACTTAAAATAAGTTATTTTGAGTATTGCCAAAGATAAATAAGTCAAAATCAGCTTTTAAGTCAGTTTGACCAGCTTTTAAGCTGAGCCAAACAGGCTTTTAAAAGTGTTCCTTTATTAGCTTGACAAATGGGTCCCATCTATATTCATTTGTCAATCAAACAATGTCTTATACAAGTATGACATGACGTGCCTCATACATAATAAAATATTTCTCATGCTTTGGAGAAGATCAAGCTAATAAAAGTGTAACTAAAAAGTAATTAGAGTCATTATAAGAGCTTGTTTGGATGGACTTAGAGCCTGTTTGGCTCAGCTTAAAAGCTGGTCAAACTGACTTAAAAGTTGGTTTTTGACTTATTTAGCTGTTTGTCAATACTCAAAATAACTTATTTTAAGTTAAAAAAAATTATTTTAAGCCAAAAGTTAAAAGCTGGGTTAGGGGTGCTTTTTTTTTTTCCAGCTTATAAGTTGTTTTAAGTTGACCACATTTTTATCTTTTTGCCCTTAATATTTTTATACAATCTCCAAATTACCCACATAACCTTAACATCTCTTTCTTCTATTTTTCCTTTTTCACGTGTGGATGATAGACAACTACTATTACTAATGAATGAAAATAAAATAAATCATAAATCTTTCAAATGATCTATTCAAATTATATATTAATAAAATGTAAAATTAGTTGCACATATAACTTGAATAAAAATTTATATTCCTCTTATAAATAATTTGTGATAATAAAGAAATATGTGAATGATAAACAATTATTATTACCTATGGATGAAACTAAAATAAAATCTTAAATCGTTCTTTAATCTATTCAAATTATATATCTTT